ACATGTTTCCAGATGCAGAATGACCCCAAATGCAGGTCCCAAAAAGCAGCCTGCACACCTCAAGAGCACTAACTAAGCCTGAGTGGTGCCCCATCTCCTCCTGGGATGTGAGCAGGCAGCAGCAGAGCTGGGCTGACCTTCCTGCTCAGCTTCCTGCCGATTTTCAGTTTCAGGCACTGGTGCAGCCTCACAGACCTGCCCTCACCTGAACAGCCTGGGCTGACTCGCAGGTGATATACCTCCGCGTGTGTGGTGTGTAGACATTGATATCTGATCTAGTCAGCCAGAAAGAACTGCTTTTGGGAACGGTTCACGTGATCTATTTTGGACAGCTGTGTGCTTTGCAATAAGTCACCCCCAAAGTGTCTCTTTCTCCCCAGTGACTACACAGGGAGCTTGCAGTGACAAGCTGAGACAAAGCATGTGAGGGTGAAGCCTAGCGGGGGCTGAGCCTGTGTTCAGCCTTTCAGCTGGAGCCTTGCCAAGGGCCTGTTGTGGCTGGGGATCTCAGACAACTGATCAACTGGGGCATGTGCAATATGCGGTTGTGGCTGCTTGCTGTTAAAATGTTATTTCCATTGTGGTGTCACAATCTGGGTCTCACAAAATAACCTAGCAGCTAGAGTCTTTGCTCAGGAGAGGGAGGATTGTTCCCCTTGTCTGACTTGCCTTCTTTGAGGGGTCTAAGCCCCATCTCCTGTTCCTAGTGAGCAGTCACAAAGTAGCAGCCTCCTGGGCAGACATTCTTCATCTCTGCAGCTGAAACTGTTCTCCTGTGCAGGTCTCTTGGAGATCATGAACAAATACAGGATCAGCACTTTGTCATTCCTTGATAGGAATGAAGTTACATGGCCAGATGTTGAGACTTCTGATGTTTATTGCAGCTGCTCTTTATCATACCAACACGAAAGCAGAGCATTTATGCATTAGAATTACATTCACTTGGGAGAAAAGCAATAAAAAACCAGTAATATGATCACACACAAATTACTAGGGGAACTAGACCCAGTCAGAAGTGACCTGGGCTCTTTCATAATCACTCTTGAAGCTTTCAGAACAATGTTAATCCAAAGGCCTCAAAGCACTTCAGAGATGTGTAATAGGTAGATACACAGCAATGGAGAGCTGTGGCAGAACTCACACTGATTTTTGCAGACTTTGGATAAAATTAATGGGTAGCATGTAACAGGCAGCTGGAGGTCAGGAACTGTTGCCCCAGCCGCTCTCCTTGAAACATCAGGAGCCTTTCTTCTTCTAGTTTCAGTTTATCAGTGTCATCACTCTAAAATAAATGGCACCAAAGTTCACACCTTGTAACTATATGCACAGCAACTAACTGTTGAAGACTAGAGGTTGTTCCCATGATCTAGTCTGGCCCTCTACAGCACAGAGTAGCAGTCCTTGACTTCTGAAGTCTTCAAATGAAGGAAAGGCCTCACAGATTTAGCTAATTGTTACAATAATTAAATGCTTTTATTGTCTAGAGCTTGCACTTAATCCTTGCTCTCAGCCCATCTAGTGTCAGTTTTCAACACTGACTCTCTGTTCTCAAAGACACTTCTGAATGAAAAAAAGCGTAAAAGCTGGTTTAACGAGATGAGGTTGCTAGCGTTTACTGCACTGCGTAAGTATCATATGCTATATTATATGAAAGTATGTTTCTTTGACATGTTCAAAGTATATTTTAATACAATATGCAACAAGTGTACATCTAGATCAGCCAATTCTGTCTTCTCTGGTTTTTTTTGTACAAAAGACAGGCCAAAGAAATGAATTGCTGTGCTTTGGCTCGATGCGACTCAAGTTCATTCTTGATCACTTCAGAGGGAACTTCACAGGGAGTGTCCTGGTTTCGGCTGGGACAGAGTTAACTTTCTTCATCATAGCTAGTAAGAGGCTATGTTTTGGATTTGTGCTGATAACATACTGATGTTTATAGTTGCTACCAGGACAGTCAAGGACTTTTCTCCTTCTCTGCTGTGCCAGTGTCTGCAGGGGCAGGAGAAGCCTGGAGGGAGCACAGCCCCAATTCCTAGCCTGGGATTTGACCTTGGGTTTAGGTTTGAGACCCAAATTGGCCAATGGTATATTCCATATCATGCATGTCATGCCCACTATATAGATGAGAATCTGTCTAGAAGTTCTCTCTTGCTCTCTCAGAGTCAGCTCTCAGTCTCTCTGACACTTGGGTTCTTATCTCTCTTCTGGGATTGTGGTTTTGGGACTCTCCCTGCTCCAGGATCATTAGCTGGGAATGGGCTGAGCTTTGGTCATTGGATCGTGAGCAGTATCACTGTGTATCACTCATCTGTATATTTGTATATATTATTATTAGTTTTGTTGTAGTTTAGTTATTAAATTGTTCTTATCTCAACCCATGAGTCTCTTTTCACTTTACTCTTTTAATTTTCTCTCCCACATCTGCTGCCAGTGAGGCCAAACAGTGACAGGAGGAAAGCCAATAGTACTAGGGGCAGCTGTCAGGAAAATTGTGCTGCTTTTGCATAAAGCTGATGCTCTGATAAAGCCTTGTTATTTCTTGCTTTTGTAGATCCTGAGCAAGGAAAGTAGTTTTGTGCATGGCCAAAATTAGATCTTGCAGTGAAGACCAAGATGAAGAATTAGTTGGAGCTGGAGATCAGCATTGCCCATATTAAACCAACAGCGTTAGTGAGAAAGCACGTAGCTGTGCTTTAGGATCAGCACACTCGTTTCGTCATGCAGCAAGTTGCATGGGTTTTACGAGATGCCTTATCTTGTCTGAACCTGACCCCTGAAAAGCTGAGTGCACCAGCTAAACCCACCTCAGCTGGATGGAGGCAACCTCAGCAGTACTCACTCTTAGCTCTGGCAGATCTTAGACCCATGGTGCCTCTTTGCAGAGCTGTCAGTTGTTCAGAGGTTAGAGTACGTGAGCATCACTACGAGGGTAGTTGCTTTTCACCCAGCTGTTGGCCAGCTCTGGGAGACTACGGCACCAGCAGTGTTGGCCATGACAATATGTTTGCACGCATGGATGCTCAGAGCATGCTGTGATACTGTGTTACACTGTTGTTGGGATTTTTTTCCTGAGAAAGAAGGAAAGAAGTTTGTGCAGTTCAGCCGCAGGAACAGTAGTTAAGAAAGATGAGTTTTCATCCATCTCTTACCAGATTTCCTGGCTGAAATACAGCCTGTATCTGCCTCCCTTTAAAAAAAAAAAAAAAAAAAAAAAGTAGTTATCTCTTAACCACAAAAGTAGAGTGAGAGGAATTGAGGAAGCAGAGCAGCTGCCCTAGAGAAATGCCCAGGAAAATAAATACAAAAGCCTGTGTGGCTTCCCATCATGAAAACAATGCAGTTAACTTCTCCAGGTAACAAAGATTTAACGTTTGTTGGTGCCAAGTGTGCCTGTGTGTAGCTTGGTGTCAGAGTGATAGAAAGATAAGAGTTATAGCAGTACTACCAGTTACTGCAGAATTTCTCTATGTCACTGGAAAACCACTTGCACAGAAATCAAATATATCGTATTTACAGCAAACAAATGCAAACAATGGTGAGTTGGAGCTCTGAATGTGTGGCTAGCCATGTTGGTGCTGGAGGGTCAAACAATGATATAACAACCACCGCAGACAGGGTAAACCGATAACATTCTCAGAGAGGATAAATCGCTCTTTCCTATCTCTACCATTGTGGTGTTCATGACAAGCTGGGTTTCGGATTGTGCAATGAAATGGCATTTGACTGAAGACATTTGGTGTTTGCAAGGGAAGTCGTTCCTGAGCCAAACCACTCCTTTGGAGCACAGCGAAGAGCCCCAGCACTGTGACGGGTGGTTTTGTAAAGATCCTTGGTCTATAGGATCCTTGGTGAAATTACCCTGCGTCTCCCCATCCATGTCCTCCATTGTATGACAAAAACCAATGTATGTGACAGACTGGATAAAATCTTCAGTGACTGTTCCTGCTCAACTTAAACTGAGTATTTTCTTTTGCCACCTGGTATCAGTTCCTTGCCACCAAAGAAACCTTTTTGTCATCAGGAAAGAAAAAAAGCCAACACACTGAGTATTAAGTCATCATTTATAATTAATTTTCTTCAGATTAAAATAATTTTCTGAAATCTTGTAGGGTTTGTTGGTTTTATATCAGGTTCTTTGACAGCACTTGCATTATACATGCCCACACTCAGAAAATATTATTTCACCCCATGTGTTTACTGTCATTATTCTTTTGAGTGTGTTCCACTTGATTCTGTAAAACATTAAATACACCAGAGGAAATACCAAAGGTGAAGATATTGAGTGCTGCTAGTGTAACAAAAGATAAATAAGCTGAAAGCATTGGCATGACAGCCTGAGATACCATAACAAGCTGTGGGTTTTCTCCACTCCAAAAACTGTTTTCAAGCCATGGTCTTTTCTACAGCAATACAAGAGGGTGAGGAAGGGCTGAAATAAAATAATGAATGAAGAGAAAAATTTTTATCTGTCACCAGCAAGCTTTTCAACCCTAATGAGCTTTTAATCCATTCTGTCGCTCAGCAGGGACAGGAGGCCCTATTCACCCATGAGAAAGCATCTCCACGTGTACACTGCCTTCCCCAAAGGCAGTCAGAGGATGAGGCCGTGCTGTGGGGACAGAGTTCTTCCAGGTGGAAAGTGACAGTAGCTATAGTTGGTGGGCAGCAGATGCTTCTACCCACGACTCTGCTTTCATTTCCTCTTCTCCCCCTTTCACGTCCTCCCCTTCTCTCTCACTCTTACCTGCCAAAGGTAAGTCTGGCTTCATCCTGCCTTTTGGTCTAGTTTATGCAGCAATGGCCACCTTAAGTTTTGCAGCTGATATATATAGAGAGAAAATCACATCTGATTCTTTGGCTGTTCAGAGTGGGGTCATTGGGGAGCTGCCTTGGAGTCTCATGTACATTGCCTTAGAGCTGGATTAATGGCAAGGAAGTGTTTGTTTTGGGGGAGGAGATCAGTATCTGCCTTGGGAGGCTGGTGAGGATAACCCCCTTTCCTAGTACTTCTCTTTCTGCTTTTGTCATTCCAGCCCATCCTGGCTGGGTGTTTCTGATTGTCCTGCAGAGGGCTTGGCAGCTGGTTTTGTCTCTGCAGTCGGCTCTTTCCTCTTCTCTGAAGGCTCTTTTTTGCTTGGTGCTTTTGCTCTGTCTGTCCCTTGGCCACCACTGTCTGTGTTACTTGATGTTACCTGCACAGCTGGCTCCAGCTGAAGGGGCTCGCTGCTCTTTTTCCACCTCCTGGCTCCTGACGATGTATTGAATTCATACATTTTGCCAGTGACTTGTCAGGGAGAAAAGACAATCAATTAAAATTGTTCCTGCTTTACCAGATTAGGACATGACAGTCCTCAGGATGGGTCTGAAATGGGAAATGTGAAGAACCTGGAAAATCAGATTATTTTGGAAAAAAAGCTCTGAGAGGGAAAGCCTCATTTCTGCAAGCAACTCTGGGAACCAGGACACCAGGGCAGCTGCTCAGGGGAGATGGTATTCTATCAGTATAACAACTGGCTCTGCAGTTCAGGGAACAGGAATATTCAAAATAGGACCTTTTATCCTCTATCCAAATTACAGCTACCATGGGTTAACATGGGCAGTGTAACAAACACATCCGTGGTCCTCAGTTGTTAGGACTAACTCTCCCAAAAACTTTTGTCTTTCGCCATGATGGGCAAGGCCATTGTATATCTGTGCGCATTTTCTCAAGTAGAGTTGGCTACCCTAGGTAGCGAAACCTGCCAGGAGCACAATATGCTACGTGTATCTTCTGGATCATGTCAGGTCATCTAGGTTGACCCAAGGTTCAGAGATCTGGGATCTTCCACAAGTTTTCATTGTACGTGTTGCTTTACAATTTGCACAGAATGTTTTCCTCCAGTCTTGCCGTGAACTTTGTCATTAATACAGTGAAATAATAAGTATTCTGTTTACAGAACTACATGCTCCCCTTATATATAAAAAGTATTTTTAATTTCAGGTTGTTCAGCACACATGGTTACCTCTCCTAGAAAGATTTTATGGGCAATTTCTACTTGTATATTAGGAGCAAGTATCTTCTCCTTCAGTTCATTTACTACCTTGAGAGAGGTGGAAGAATTGCCATGCACCCAGTGTGACTGACTCACAATTTAAATCACTGTCTCTTGCTAAACAGAGGGAGAATCAGGAACTATAGTGGCACTTCTGGTATTTAAACATTACTAATACGAGACAAACAAAAGACCATTAAGGCCTGGAAAGAAACAGTGGATACGTGTTACTACATGTTACAGTTTTTATCAGAATTAATGGTTTCTGACACATTAACACAATTTGAGCAATTAAAGATGAAACTGGATCTCTTTACATGCTATTTTTTCTGACTGTTTACAAGGCAGGCATGTTAAAGCAGCCCAGACCAGGAAGCAGCTCCCGACCAGCCTCCTAATCATCTTCAACAGGTGATGTCCTGGGAATTATTAAACCTCATGTCCAAATCACCAAGACTTGATCCATCTAGGGTTTGGGATGAGCCATGGAGGGGAGGGGAGGGGAGAGGAGAGGAGTGGGGAGCACATATTTCTCTGCTGACACCACAAAGCTGTGTTACAGCTTAATGTCAGGCATGACACAAGTGCTATGGCTCTGGTGGGCAGTTTGGAAGGGCTCAGATATCCTTAAATCTGGTGTGGTCAGATTTGCTGAGGAAGGGAGCCACCAGCTGTCCTGCAAAAACACTGGGAAGCAGCAGCTCTTGCAGTGGCCTAGAGAATATCCATGTTTAATATATTACAAATGCAGTTACATGGGAAAAAAGCAGGGACTTTGGAGCACATCCCTCCAGATCTCTTTATAAATAGCAGGTGGGCTTGGACCTGGACCAAACTGGCCTCAAACAGCCTCATGGATGGGCTTAATTGTACAGTAGGGTCCCATTTGTTCACCCAAATTCTACTGAAGTCCCTGTAACTAGTGTTTCCCATTAGCTCACAGCATCCGACAGCTCTGAGCCCGCTAATAAGAAACACAAGGTACAGGCACCACTTTCATCATTTGGCCACATGAATCCAAGCCTTGAAACAGGCCTGCCTTCTTCTGGATAATTTTTAGACTTATTGTTTCAGACCTGTTTTCAGATGTATTTGTCAAAGACCTATGACTGACTGTGTCACATTTTACCAGCCCTCCCTCTCCATGCTGGAGCCCTCAGCCATTAGATGCAGGGCTGGGCACCTTAATGTCAGGACAAGCATTGTAGTGTGGGGTGCAGGCAGGGGCTGTGGCTCAGGGGGATGAGGCAAGGTGGATCAACCCTTAGGAAAAAAAAAAAAATTCTGCAGTGAACCCTGCTGCAGAGCACAGTGGCCGTCACTTGGAGAAGGGGATAAGCACTACACCTCCTGTGTCATCCTGTTTTTTCTAGCTTTCACCTTAATTTCACTTTTCCCAGTTGCCCACCTGGTTAATCAGATATGCTCAGAGTTAGCATAGCTGAAGCCTGGTGGCACAGTTGGTAGCTGATGCCACCACAACTGTATCTAAAAGCAAGCGGTCTTCCTTCCTCCCCAAGCAGCAATGCTCAAGCTCTAGATAAACAGCAGCAATGCACTGTGGCTACAAGGAAGGAGGTTTGTGCAGGGTGAGTAACTCACCCACCGCCTTGCATCCAGGGAGAGGTTTCAGAAATGACGTCAGAACATCTGCATCCAGATTAATCTGCTGGCCATTTTCCAGACAGGGGAAGGGTGAAAACATGTAGCCATGACAGCACTAGAGCAGGGAGGCTTGCAGCTAATTCCTCCTCCTCTCCCACCTTCCTATATCGGATCCATACACTCAGGTTTAGCAGAGGAGTAGTGAATAACGCTTTCAAGGGCCATAAGTATATTACATTCTACTATTAGAAATGTTGGTGGGGCACTGTCTTGATTTTCACTATCTCTGAAATATAGCTCCCATTCTCCTTGGAAACAGCAAACCTGAAATCTGAAAAGCAAATGTTGAACCATATTTAAATCAACTAATCCAGTTTGTTTCCAGCCAAATATTCATATCCACTGTTAATTGCTTTTCATTACCTGGGTCTCTGGCTTCTCCATCAAAGACAGTGTTTAGCTTTGTCATTGTCTGTGAAGAGAGACAAAACGTGAAATGAATCCTGTGAATTAGCTCAGCAAGAAGGAGGAGCAGTGACTTGGAAATGGTGACATACATGGATGGAGGTGGATTTGTATGACCTGCATATTGCATTCCTGTAGGCTGGGTTTAATCAAAACTGGCAACGAAAGCCATTTGTGCTGTAGGGTGTTGCCACTAGATGTTCAAAGGAGAGTTAATAAGGTCTGACATGCTAGATGCCTCCTCCACGTGTGTAACCACAAGAGGGTCACCTCCACCCAGAGGAGGCTTGGGAATTCCCTCTCTGAAGAACTTGGAGAGGGAGAGTACATTAATGAAAGTGTTTTACAGCCCTTATGCTATTGGGGCTCTGAAAAAGGAAGGAGCCACAAGATCTAGGAGAAAAAAAAACATTTATCATAGTGGAACGAACTAAGGCATTTTGCTGCAAACAGCTTATCAAGACCAAACTCTTTCCAGCTTGGTACACTTGTGTGCCTTACTGGTTGCACTCAGGCAGGTCAGGGTTAGCTGCACAGGTCAGTGAAGCTGGGACACTTGTCCTCCTGCCTCTGTGGCTGCAGCAACTCTCCTTGTCACTGCTCCAGGCACAGCCTCTTTTGGTCTCCCACTTACAGGGCTGCCAGAGATGCTGGAGAATTTGACACTTGGAAGCAAAGGGGCCACAGAGCCGGTGAGCATCCCTCACACCTAGTGTTGCTTCCAAATACAGAGGCCAGTTGGGGCACTGAAGTGTTTTGCATTTGGGGCAGCGTTTTATTCCTTGCCTGTCATTTTCGTATTCTCTTTGGAAAACAGACACCTTTCATAGAAAGGGTCCTACGATCATATTGCTTGATGGGGCTGGGTAATACCAGGCTTTGTTTTGAGGCCAGCAATACTTACCACAACCACTTCTTTCTTAGGTTTCTTCTTTTCTACAGAAAAGAAAATACACAATGTAAAGATTCTGATTTTTCTGACAGTGGCTATAGACACTAAAGCCAAGATTTCCTCAAACAAATAGACATTCTCAGTACTTGACTTCTGAGGTATCTCACATGAGCCTTGTTCCTTTTCAAAGGATGATCCCTCATACTATTTGAAAAGCGAACTCCTTCACAGTATTTTGGAGTGAGAATCCAGAGTTCCCAATGACTAGTTAAAAGTTTAGCCTTGAAAAGTCTTATTCCTTCAGTAATGAATAAATAACAATGGTTTCTTCCCTTTCTAAATAATATGAACAGATATAGAAATTAACCTTTCGCAATATTTGAACTACAAATGTACGTTATTTTTTTTCCAGGAATGTTTGTAGTTGCAAAGCTTGTGCACTCAAACATGCGCTTGGAGACAAAACAGGGATGTGCTGCAGATCCAGTCAAGTAAAATCCAGATTGAAGAACAGTTTGGTTATATGTGGATTTACTACACTATTAATTCATCCCACATGCAAACAAATGCAGCAGCAGTGCCATGGGCATCTCGACATCATGGATTTGTGGATGATGCCCAACTAGTTGCTATGATTTCTTCTCACTCACTCCTTGACAGTTTGTTTAACGGCCTTCCTTTGGAGAACTGTATGTCTGGCCACCAACAGGCTATGCAGGCCAGGTGTGCAATACTCTGAAGCTCTGCAGATGGGTCTGAACCTGAACACTGATGGGAAGCCTGTTCTGTCTGGCCTTTGCTGACCAGCATTTGGGAACCAGTTTTTCAGAACGCACCAAGCATCCATTTTTTGGCAACCAGCCAATGCTGAAATGTCTCAAATTGGGCAACCAGGAGAACAGCTAATTTTGTTGGGTTTTATTAGTCATGTGTTTTTTCAAGCTGGGAGATACTGATTGAGGAGAGGGAGTTATAAAAGCAAGGTCTTACTGAACCCATATGAGACATACTGGCTAGCAGAAAGCCAATGAGAATAAAAGGGACAGGAATGCTTGAAAAAACACCTGGTTTTGTGTGTGTTGTTTATACACCTACTAAGTTACACAAACCCGTTTAAAAGCACCAATACTTGAAATTAAGTCTTCAAGTACCTGAAGTAATGGTGTCAAGGGAGCAAATCAAGGGACCAGAAAAGAGGGAGTTAGAGTGGAGAGGACTCTTGGAGGTGCTGTAGAGGGATGGGAATATTTTTTAGTAGACAGCACATGAATTGCTTGTGAAAAATCCAGTAACTCTTTAGCATCCATGCCAGAATACCAGGCTACTCTGTATTGTTTTTTTACCTGATAGTTAATAGATCTGAAGACCAAAAGGGCCATGAAATCACTTAAGCAGACCTCCCATAATCAGCCAGGGTTATTTAATCTCAGTACTCTTGTACTGGGTCAAATTTATTTGTCTAGAAATTGATTTACAAATTTTATACTGAATCATAAACAAGGTGTTGTTGAGAAGTATTAAAATATAGAAAAGAGGTACACACCTGGATCGTTTATCCTGTAATGAAAAAAAGATTAAGAGTGTAGTTAACAAATGTCATACTTCTGCCTACATAAAAATATCATGCTTTGTTCTCTTTCACTTGGTAAGAAGGATGTGTTTCCTTGAGTTCTGGGATTTGCTTGATTTGTTTGGTTTCTGGTTTTGCTTTCACTGAAGGCCTGCATCATGTAATGCTGCTCTCAAACAGCAAAACACCCCTGAGCATTGCTCTAACACCTCTTCAAGAAGGGATAATATTAAAAAATAAAGTTGTATTGTGATAGCATGATGGATTTATATAATCTGTAAAAACATCTTTTCAAATACTGTCATCTTGTTTCACCCTTGGAGGAAGGTAAATTTTTTGATCTGATGTGCTCAGATAATACCTTTTTAAATAGTTGAAAGGTCGTAAATGCTTTTGAAAATATAGAAATTGGTTTTTAATGGGAGAGCCTGGCTCCCAATGAATCACTTGCTCTACTAATAACAATAGCCAAACTATATGTTGCTAGATTAATTGTATTTTTTTCACTAATTGCTAAATTCCTTGCACACACCATTTGAATTATAATCACAGTCATATATTACTTCTTTACATTTACTATAATTTCTAAATTTAAGTCCAAATCCTGAGAATACTTATAGAAATCCTTGTTTTTAATCCCAGTCCATTTAAAGAGCTGCTTATCTTTGTTTTGTGAAGTCAAAAGTTGATTTAGAGGCAGTCTGACTCCAGTCTGCTGAGAAGGCAGCCAGCAGGGATCTCTGCTGCTTCCCACAACGAGCCAGAGCCGGTCCCAGGTGCTTCCATGCCTTTTGCCAAGCACAAGCACTTAGAGGTACTACAAAGCTTTATGGGCCAGAGCCTTGGAACAGGCTTGCATAGAACTGCAGGAAATCTGCAGATGTTTTGCCAGAACAAAGAATCTGGCATGAGCACCAAGGTTTGGAAAGGACTCTTGAATCCATAGCTGAGAGGGAGGAAAATGCATCCAGTAACTACCTAGATGGGAGCTCCCTTGGAGCAGGAGCCAAATACAAACCAAAAACATTTGTATTTTTGGTCAGCACAGCCAGGCAGAGACTCTGCACCTCAGAAGTGTAGCTGCCTTTAGAGGTCATAGCTGTTAATTCCACTATTGCATTCAGTTAATGCTAATGTTAGTAAATCCATGAAAAAAAGTGCCGTGGAATTTTTCCCTTGATTTCATATAATTAACACCAAATATCCAGTAGCCAGTAATAATATTTACCTACAGCAAAGGGCATATGGCTATAAAATATTCAAAGCATAGTTTTCATTACAGGTGAAAGCCCTGAGTTCTCTCTGTCATTGCCAGGTGTTGCTAGGTATGCCCCCAGCGTGACATTTCGGAGGACTCACAGAGGTGCGCTGTCTGCTTTGCCTGCCAGAGGGCAGCAGGTGCGGATCCATGTCACCAGCCGGAACCCCAGGAACCCCAGCAGTCCGAGGAGCAGCAAACTGCTGAGGGTGATGACGAACGGCACGTACCACGCCAATTCAGAGTAGAGGTTTTCCCTTTTCGTCACAACAGTGAAGCCAGGCTTTTAAAACAAGATAGGAAAAGTTTCTCTTGGCTGCACACTTGTAAGGTTACTGACACCAACAGTACCTTTCATCTGGCTGAACTTCTGCACTGAAGCACCTGGCCCAAGCTTGCCCCGACGCTCTGCAGATGATAGGCAGAGGGAGATGGCGTCTGTTGGAGACAGTGATTCATCCCACATACCTGCCTGCAGACTGCCAAGGCAGCTCAGATGATTGAGATGGACCACCAAGCTCCTGGGGCAACCAAAGGCAGGTGTAATGGAGCCCACGCATGATGCAAAAAGGAGGTTCCTGATCATGTTTCAATGTCTTCTATTAAAACAAGCATGCCATGGTAGCATTTAAAAGCCTCAGGTTGCCTAAGAAGCTGCAAGCATGCTGTTGGAGAGTGAACAAGTGCAGGGAATACTGCCATTACCAAGATAATGGTGTATTGTTACCTAAGGCAAAATTGGAAGTAGGTCATCTTCACTGCAGTGACCATTCATCCCCCTTTATAAGAGGAGTTGAACACTGAGGAATCAGGTTATTGCATAAAAATAAATTAAACTCCTTTGGTTTTCCTTGTGACTTGTTCTAGATGGGAAAACCACACTACCACACTTCCTGAGCAATTGCAATCTCTCACATCTTCCCGAGTGCCGGGAGACATGGCTCTGAGCTGTCAGGTCACTTGGTGCTAGCAATTCATTCATTAAGGTCCCATCATTAAACTATCCTCACACATATCCAAAATTACCCGTTTGCTCTACCTAGCTCATTACCTTTTGTGGTACTATGAGTTTTGATCATCTATGTAAGTTTTTATTTAATTTTCTGTAAGACTTTGTAATCACATTGTGTAGGAAATTTAGTAGAGTATCTCTTTCTTTTCCGTTTAAGGATACCTTTAAAACAACTCAGCCTTGCAAAAAAATGGGATATCCAATCCTTAGAGAAATTCTCAGGTAATCTCAAGATCACCACCACCACTTCACCCTTACTGGGACTGAAGTCATGAGTGACTTTTTTAATGGGGCTTCTTTCTACACTGCCAGCCTTCCAGCATCTGATCCATCAAGTTATTGCACTGAACACATAAAACAAGTAGTGATGGAAGAAGCTGCTGTAATGGAAGTGCTCTTCTGGAAAACAGACTGAAAGTGTAAGGCTGATATCTCTGGGGAGGCAGATTTAATGCTGTGGTATGTGGTCTAGACTGTTTGTATTTGTGGTAAAGCATGGGAAAGAAATGCAGAATAAGTTTTGTTATTCAGCTTAACTTTTCATTTCCACATCAAGTAGGGGGAGGAGAAGGCTGTGAGAAAACCATATATTCCTTCCCAGCAGAGCATTAGATAATAACAGGGTTATTAATCAGTCTGCAAGTTTGGATTTAAGCATTTTAATAGCAAAGTGTCCAGATTTGCATGTGCTGTTTGCAGGATCTCCTGCTTCCGGCTCAGTTACCAGTAGCCCCTAGCAGATTGGGACTGTTTTACAGTGAATAACTCTCTTACCCCCTCACCAGCATCCTCATATTTTCATTTCTGCATGCAATGGACAAAAGGGTAATGCCATCTGCATCAGGCAGGCAGAAAATGGATGGACTCCGGATGACAGAGGGATGGTGCAGCAGGGGATGAAGGCAGCAACTAGCACAAGGACGGGGACAGAGCTGTCGCTTCTTCAGGCAGGATGAAAGCAAGCTCTCCTCCCATCATGCACCATCCTGATGGAAACTTACTCCAAACTGAAACTGGTGAGCCAGCGCTTGCCTGGGATGGCTGTGTGGTGGAGCAGACTATATTGCTGGGACACAGGCTGTGGAAGGCCAAATCCCACCCCAGCTGCCAAAAGCTGTGCAGGCTTCCCCAGCTCAGCTAAGACCACCACATGGGCAGGGAGCTCAAGAAAGACCCATCCCACCCCTCTGGCTTTGCCTGTCTGAAACCTGCTGAAACCGCAGCAACATGATGAAGCTGTGCACAACTGCTTCAATTCCTGACGGGCAGCTCGAGGCTTCACATGAGAGTGACTTCAGGGATGGAAAAAATCCACTTCCAAGTGATGAGGATTTCTTGTTATTGTTGTTGTTGCCTATTTCAACTTTGGTCGCCACAGATAAATGTGTCCCACCACTTAAAGAAACACATTCAAGTATAAGGCAGCTGGAAGAGTAAATAGCTATGAATAAAAAAAGAGGGAGTGCAAAATGCATGAGGTAATTTTAAGGTTCCAAGCAAAGGTTAACCCTTGCTCTTTCCTTATTAATAGAGCTGCCAAAATCTTTAACTTACCAGTTATGTTGTAATGGCAGTGTGCCCAGTCCTTTGGCTGCTTGCCCTTTTTGTTTTAGAAACTAAAATACAAAACATATGTTACGACTCTCTACCTGGGAACAATCCTTCATGACGCTGAGCACATCAACCACCTCTGGCTTCAAGGTAAGAGCGTGGGGCTCGGGACTTCCCACAACTGGACCCACTGCAGGTTTTTGTTTTCCTTTTGCATACATCATCTACTCTATTTTCTTCACTCCCATGGAGAGTAGCCCAATAAAGAACCACAGAAGTGGACATAAATTTCAGTGAACTTACTGTTGTGGCAATGACAGCAGTTGGGTTCGGGATAACTCTGATGCTTAAAGTCACCGTTCCAGTTTTAATTAGGTGTGTAGCTTTTTCCTTGGCATTTAGTAAATTGTCATCTGTTATATAGATGCGCAGTCTGTAAACCCAGTTTGTATCAAGTCCACTCTCATAGTCAAACCTGGATGCAAGGATCAGCCGAGATGTGTTGGAACCGGCACTTGGTGAAAAGGTGAAATGATTGTTCACATTGCCTGCAAGCAGCAGCAAAAACATAAAGCAGTGCCAAAGAAGGAATAAAAAAGAAAACCAGTCCCACATTAAAGTAAATGCATGGAACAAGCAAAAAGATAAGTTTCTGTTGATGACTTGTTATGGAGCACTATACACCTGTGCAGGGAAATATAATTTACAAGAATGGATCCTCAGTCTTCCTGATATAATATAAAATCAGACAAAGCAATGCAGCAATAAAAGCATTAAAATATGGAAAAAAGCCCTCTACAGTGACACAGCTGAGAGGAGGCTATGGAAACACTTCAGAGCCACGGGGCGCACAAGTGGTCACCCAAAGGACCCATCCTTACAGCCTGGAGAGCACCAAGAGGCAGTGGCACCTGGTCAGAGTGAGGACCCTATGCTGCTGCGGGGCTCATTCCACTGCTGGGGTGTCCCTAGAGTGATGCCTAGGCCACATTGACACCACCAGCATCTCCAGAGGCCACTCCAAACCCTCTCCATGGCTTCTGCGCAGGGGCAGAGGCCTTTGAACAGGTGCCCCAGAAAAGAGATAATGACTCCAGGGACGCTAATTGCCTCCAGGACTTCATCTGCCCTGTGGGGGTAGAGAGGGGATTTCAGTGATGCTGGCTCCCCAGCCCCCATTTTCTGTCCGTACAGCTGGAGATCTGCTAGTGGCCTGGGCTGCGGGCAGGCCAGCCCCAGCTGTTAGGCTCTGGACAGACCACACATACAAGAGATCAGAGCCGTGAAAAGGCACCAAATGTGCTTTGGTTTTGCTCTTGTTGCCCCACAGAGGTCCAGAGACACAGTGACCTTGAAGGCCACATCTAGTAAATGGGACATGGGCTGCTCTGTGGTTCAGAGGCCAACTGAATGGCACAGGTCATGTCTGTACAGCCAAAACTGGACCTGTGGTCAGACCCTGATTTACTAATACAAACACAGCCTTCTATGGGCTCCTGTGTAAATGGCACTGCTGCAGAGCTCCTCTGTGATGTTAAGGAGCTGCAATAGGACAGAGGTTCTCTCTTTTTATGCTAAAGCTTTTTACTGGCACCTGGACAATCTGCTCCCTCCTTCCCATCAGTCACTCAGCAACAAAAAAGGAATTGCTCCAAAAAAGTGCATTCCCTTTTTGTGAAGCCAAGTGTCATCCTGTACCATTGCAGTTCTCCAAGTGGATACAGTTGATTACTAGGTTGAAACACATGTTCTTAAACTGGGGGTGTAATGCATACAGCATGGACCTAGGACATGCAGGTTTGCTCGGTTGTTTTGAACTGTGTACCAGCATCTGAATGTGAGGTATGTGGAGTAACAGAACACACCATAATTTCTCAGGATTTACTCAGCTGTAATTGGAAGGGAAATTTGACCCTGTGTATCATTCCAGCTCATTCTTCTGAAGTCCATGTCAACTGTGTAATTAATTGCCAATTAATTAACGTGGTAGGCAATCCAGTCTTGCAGGGAATGGTTCTAGGTAGTAGCACCAGTAGCCAACTTGCAGAGAGATACCTCTTTTGGTAAGCAGCAAAGTAGTGATGTGAAGAACTTGTGGATCACAACTAGCTCACCATGAGAAGTAGCACATAAACTGTGCTACATTTTTATTTACAAATCAAAGAGAACCACCAGCATTCCCTAATTTTTGCACTGCTCCCAGCTCACACACCGTGACACAGTACCTTCATTAATGAAGTACCGGAAAGACCTGGGATCAGAATCGCGATCTTGACATTCAATCCTGAAGCCATTAATATTGGTCCCAACAGCTAGACTCACTGGGATTTGAAATGAATAGAAATTGGGTGAACAAACTGGTTCTTCATCATTCACGTCCAAAACACTGACAGTTACCTGAAAGAAAAGAGCAATAGCAAGCTGAAGCTCCACCACTGTGCTGAGACAGAATTTTAACTTCAGAAACTGCTTGGCTTTGCCCATTTTGCTCTTTTGATCAACAGCAGTTGAAGAGATATGAATCTCCCTTCCAATCTAGTTTCTACCAGAAGATGTCTGATCATTTGACTTAAATTCTTCTTGTGATCAGCACTCTTCTGGGAACAGGTTCCTTCCAAAACTGCAGGGGTTTAGAGCTGATGTGTCTATTTGAATCACCTGAATTGTGTCATAGTAAGAATGAGAAATAATAACAGTACAATGTATTCATTAAACTTCCTTTCAAATGTCTTGAATTGCTTCACAGTCACTAGTTAGGCTTCTTAGCATATTTAATAATAATTCAGAGTATGACCCATGGAAGGGAGGAAGACTCCTTATAGACTGCTCCCAGTGAGAGAGAAATGCTGGCAATGGCCTTCTGCAAGACTGGGAGCACCCCAGGTAGAACCAGATGTGCTTAATGTCAGCTGGGATTAGCTCAGTGAGAAAAAAAGTTTACCCTTCTCAAAGCTCTTTCCTCTAACGTCTGTTAGTCTTTAACAGGCAACAGATAAACTTGGTACCATTAAAAGCTCCTGATGCTAGATTTTCCTTAATCATCACGTTGAAATATTACAGGTGTTAAAGAGATTAAGTACCTCCCACCTAGCATCTCTATGGGTGGTGCTTGGCTGGAACAGAAAGCAGGCCTAGTGCCTGTATCCTCCCCAACAGACGTGCAAAAATCAAATGTAAGGCGGTCATGAGGGAGAAGATGTGCAAAGGAGTAAAAAGGAACCTGTAGGTGAAGGACCCTGGGATTCTTTGAAATAAGTGACTATAAAATACCTTTGTGGACATAGTCTATGTTTTTTCTTCTGAATATAATAGGTCTGGGCAGCAAACTTGGGCACAACCCTACTGTTTAATATTATCATGGTCACTGGCATGCTCTTGGCTCCTGACAGATAGCACCATCAGGGACAAAACTAGGTCATGGTTGAGGAAAGCACATGTAAGGTTCCATCCCCAGTAGGCCATGGACTAAGTAGGACTTGGCACTAAGCTTGGCTAAAATGAGGCTGTGCTACCCGGCCTCAAGGCTCTGTCCTTTTTCTATTTTCCGGAACCATAAAGAATATCTTAAATTGTCTAGGGCACAGAAAACAATTTCACCACCCAGGTAAAATAAAAAAAAAGACTGAGAAACAGAAACTAGAGAGTTAAAAATAGAAAAACATTACGTTAATGCTTTTTGTAAGAAACAAACTAAGACTGAGTGAAAACCACCTCTTTCATCTGTGCAGAGGGGGACTTGCCTTTTACAGACCAAAGTGCTTTGCCCAATGTACCTTACCATTCTTGTCAGGAGGAAGAGAAAAATATGTAGATAAAGGGGGAGAAGTAGAGTGGATTTACTCACAGATGCTGTTGTGGTCTTCTCTTGGTCTGAGGCCTGTACTGTAAGAATGTGTTTCTGCGTTGTTTCATAGTCTAATCTAGCTAAAATCTTCACCTCTCCTTTGTTTGGGCTGATCCAGAAGATATTTGCGTAATCCCTGGTGCCTCCTCCAGCTACAATGGAATAAGTGATGGCACTGGGTGGCCAGTCCTTGTCACTGGCACTCACTCTTCCAATGCTAGATCCAACTGAGAGACAGAAAATCCACATTTCATTAACATTTTAAGGGAAAAGGAAGTACAGAGTACTCATTCTGACCAAAACTTGATGAAGGTGAACTAAAGATTTGGTTTAGAGTTTTTCACCTCAAAGAAGCAAAGCAAAGCTGTGAGAAATACTGGTTCACCATGCTGTGCTATGGCTCCCCTGTGTACGGGCTTGCCTGGTAGCAATAGACACCAAACACTCTACAGCCTGTAGAGAACCACAGCAGAAGTGCTCTGGCGCTGAGTAGCACCCTGAGCCCTGCACGGATATGCACAAACTCCAGCCTTCTGGCAGCCCAAGTGTAGGCTTGGTTGGAGGAACAAGGTTCTTTATCTGCCCTGAAAAGCAATTGCTGCTCTTCCTTCTGAGGTGTTTGAAAAGCAGTTCCAATTACCTTCATGCTGAGCATTTATGAAGCAAACTACAAATGGCAGTGCTGTAAAATGTGAGAATGAAGATGGGACTGTGCACACCCATCTCTGCAGACATTGATTCAATGCTAAATGCATCCACATGATCCAAAGATATACAGGATGAATAGTCCACATGTGCAGAGTAAGACAGAAGGAGGATGTAAATGAAGGGTTGGATTTTTTTTTTCTTTCCTGACTCTGGGAACTCCAGCCCTAATGCAAACTGTTGGCCCCTGTTTGGTACAGAAATAGCAAGCACCCTCTTAATGTCAACTGAGCTCAAAAGAAAAGGCAGTCTGAGTAAAAAAAACCACATTTCTCTTGATAGTCTCAGTATCCAGCAAAGTTCTGTGGCTGACACAGAGAGGTTTAGAGACATATCCATGTCACAGATGGGTTTCAAGTATGTTGTAGTTTTGACCCTGGCTGGGAGCCAACTCAATGTCAGTGGTATGAGGAGACACACACAGAATAGGAAATGCTACAAAATTCACTGCATCCTATCCATTGGGAAACAGTGCAGAAAACCAAGCTCCATCTGAGCACCACAGAAATAAAAGTTGGGCAAGAACAACAGGCTGCTGAGCAATGCAAGGTGCTGGTATGAGCATGTGAAGGTCGGGGTCCTCCAACTGCTAAGTGGCTACCCTGTGTCTCCCTGTCCCTCCTTCGCCCTGCTTTCCTGGCAGTTTGGCCCCTGCAAGTGCCGGGGCTGCCAGGGTCCCTCTGCCAGGCAGACCCCTGCTGGAAGCTGGCCCCCCACCAGCCTCCCCACTCTCTCCAGCTCCCTCCCAGGCCATGCTGAAGCTTCGCCATATGCAGCAGTGGCCAATGACAGCTTCTCCACAGGGCAGACAGGAGTGATTTTTGCAGACCTGTGAACCTTGGCAGCATCCTCATGACCAGAGAAGGAAGAAAACAGAGAGCTGAGGGTGAGGCTGGAAATTTGGGCTTGCTCCTTTGCCCCTGGCAAAGGGGGTTGTGGACAGGCTGGCAGGGCTCCTTGAAGCATGCCTTTTCCTCCCCCCGGCCCCTGCCTCCTAACTTGGGCAAATGGACACAGAAGCACCATAGAGCCTATATGGTACGAAGTGACTACTTCACTCTGCTCAGCACTCATGAAGTTCCCTGTGACCAGTTTGGGGGCCCAGGGACAAGAGAGATGCTAACAAACTGGAGAAAGGCTGGGGAGGGCCACTAAGATGTCAGGGGGCTGAGCAGAGGATGCAGGAGCAGAGGATGCAGGAGTAGAGGCTGGGTTTGTTCAGGCTGAAGAAGGGAAGGCAAAGCAGGGATTTAATTGCTTTGCTCCACTGCCTAAAGGGCAATGATACAGAAGATCAAGATACACTCTTCTCGGGAGGGAACAGTGAAAGGGCAACAGAGAACAGAGATAAGTTGCAACATAGGAACTTTCAGCTGGGTGCAAGGTAAATTTACCTGGAATTAAGGTTGCTCTGCTGGAACAGGTGGTCAGAGAGGCTGTGGAATCTCCATCCTTGGAGATTTTCAAAATTCAACTGGATGAGGCCTTGAGCAACCTGATCTAACTTTGAAACTAGCTTCACATTGAGCACAAGTTGGACTTGACACCCTCAGAGGTCCCTTACACCTTCATTTTTTCAGTGACCCTAGGAAGTCCAGAATGGGGTCAATATTTATCCAGCATGTACCTAACATACCTCTCAATTTTTTCTCAGCCAACAGAATAAATTCAGTAAGCAAGGTCCTGGGACAGAAGGCCTGTGTTTGGTACATTGGGTTGTATCAGGGTGAGGCTGAAGCTGGAGAAGATGCCATTGCCATGCCAACTCCTCTGCACCCTGAGCAGCACAGCACAGAGCAGCTGGCAGTTGCACCTGGCACATGAGGATTACCAAGGACTGGCACTTACCTGGCATGCTCTGCAAACTCAGAACATGCAGGACTCACTAGGGGACAGGGAGGGTACTGAGGTGGGAGTCAAGCATGTCAACAAATTCAGTTTTAAGGCCACATTTGCAGCTGCTGGTCCTGGGCTGTTCCAGGAATGGGAATGACCCTGGCTCAGGGCATGAGGAGCTGCTCTGGCTGCTCTGGCTGAGCAAAGCCTCCCCATCTGAGTGCTCCCATCCCACCCCATCTCCAGGGCACCCACTGCACCCAAGGTGAGTTGGGTCTAAGGGGACAGTGGGGTGGCCATCCTGTACCATGCCTGGGCCAAGGGAGTCCTCACTCATCTGTGCCAGCCTATAGTGGTTTCTTTGCACCATCACAGTCTCTCCAAAAGGCTAATACAGCAAGAGCAGAAAGATGGTCTAAAACAAGACATCTTGAGTTCAGTTTCTGTCTCTGTCACACATTTCTTGTGCAATTGCTGAATTTGTCTGTGTCTCAGCTTCCATCTGTACAACTGGAGTTGCTGCCAGTTTTGTCTATTTAAGGGTAGTAGGTGGTTGTACAGTGAGACCTCGGTTGAACTGGAACTTGGAGCCATTCTGCTCATTCAAATATATGAAAATCCATTTGAGGAAAAAAGGTACTTATCAACATGGCAACATTCTTTCTATCATGTAGGTGCTACTTACTGTACCTTTAGTAATTTCTGAAACATTAAATTCATATGATAAATTACTGAAGACTGGAAAAAAATCATTCACTGGCTTTATCCTGATGTAAATGTAGATGATATCTGGAAATATAACAGAAGATTAAATCATAGTTAAGTATGGCTGTAAAATTTTCTCATGCATATATTCAAAATACATATGGTATTCTTCTCTCCATGCTGTTACAGCACAGGAAAATATCAAAAGAAGTGTAAAATGGATACTTGCTTGAGTAGTTTGGACAGGCAATATCTTGTACCCTGACAGTCAAAGAATAAACTTCAACTCCTAGATTAGCTGGGTTTTCTAAATCAATACTTTCAGTCATCTAAATTAAAAAGAAACACAATTATATTTATACTTCCTTACATAAAGTCACCATACACATGATTGCAATTACTTTTTTCAGCATTCTGTAAGTGTGCTCTGCCCCTTGGATATATAGAATTGCCCTGTGGGAGTAACATAATCTATTAATCAATAGTCTATATTAGGATTGAATTCCAGGCTTTTTCTATATGTTCACACTCTGGTGTCTCTTGGCAATCCAAAACGCTCTCCTTCTGCCAACAAAATATCTTCCCCTTAAGTGCAGGAATTTTTATTGTTTGGATCATAAGATCCTGGCCTTCTACCTGGTTAATTCAAAGAGTATACAATGAGCTGGCTATTTGCTCTGCCCTTTGTTGGCCCAACAAGAACCTGCTATTGCTAAATAGTAATAGTTACGCCTGGAGCTCACGCCTGCAGACATGTATTAAAGGTATCAGGTTCAGCCACAAGTGTTTACCCAGGAACCAAGTTGTTACTGAATGGTGGCTCACACAGATTTAAATCCTAATCTCCTGAACTCTCTGTCTTTCTGTAGGAGCCTCATAAACTCTGGGGCAGCTGGACTAAAGCACAAGCATCCACTGTTTATCATATATAGGGAAACTCCTGCAGGGACAGGACACTTCACATAGCCTGTGGCATTATACATACACAGTGATCAAAGCGCTGACAAGAATCATATCCTGTACAGCAATTAAAATGTTTTTTATGTTGGCAGATGTAGCAGCTAAGGGCAGTGCTCATTGACGTGTATACCTCAGATCAAAAATTAAAGCCATACAAAATTGCTTCACTCCTCCTGTAGCACTCTTGGTCTTTTGGAGAAAATGCCTATTTTTTGTTATGTTTCCCTTTTTCTGTATTTGTCCACGGTTCCTTTTAAAGCCATGAAAGAACCACCATTGCACATGTCCAGCAACTGGTGGGTGTTCTGGCCAATGCAAATATGCAGGCAGCTATCAGCATAAGGAACCCATATTTTGACATGCAAAATAACGCAATGGCAAATCCCACCACACTTTTGTGAAAATTTACCACTCAAAGTGGTTTTACAATTCTGACCAATGAAGCTGGCAAGTTCCCACAGAGTGTGGGATTCAATTCTTCATGCTGAATAGCAAGGATCTCCCACAATCTGTCACAAATAAATGGCATGAAAGGGCATCAGAATTCTCTGTTTATCCATATCAAAGTTGGTGCTTCACAATCCCTAAAAAAGGATTTTTTTTCCAATCATATCTAGCACATTTATTTAACACTGGAGAAATCAGTTCTCTGTTCACCAAATTCTGTAGAATCCATAGAAAGCATCCTATCAAAGGGTCTGTAGTTCACATGCAGTTGAAACAGTCATTCTCCACATCATACCCACTCTGACATGAATTACAGTAATTCTTTTTTTCTTGTACGGACCATGAATTCAAAGAACTTAAATAGCATTTCATAAATTGGCTTCTGAAATTGGACAATGTAACATAAAGCCACAAATGACTGACCACAAGTCTTCCAGACACAGTGGACTCCAGAGCAAAGTTATTGCTTCCAAAACCAGATAATCCAGTGAAATTAAATTGATTGTTTGATGGATCAACATCAATATCTTCACAGTAATTTCTAAGATCAAGAAGAAATGTCCCAGCAGGTGTATTTTCATTTGCTTCTTTCCTGTTTAAAACAAATACATTTCCCATCAGAGCTACTTATGCTTCTCCTCTTGAACTCTTCATACATTACATGCCAAAACATTGACTTCCATTTATTTCCTAAGTGAAATCCTAGACCTAAATAGACAACAGCTGGTGAAGCAACCCAGAATCTGATCCATACGCTGCAGTGGACAACAGCCCTGTACAATGGGCAGGACATAAACGTTTAGCTAGATCTAAACCAGAAACCTGTAACTCAGCTAAAGTTCAGAAGCTGCCACAAGATCTTAATGTTTTAAATTACTTCAATTAATAATTAGTATTTTAAAACATCTTTGCAACATTCATTTTTTCAGTATGTTATAATGTTTTCCTGATGAGAAGCTCATTCTTCTCTCCTTAACTAATAGCCGGACCATTCTACTGTTTTGTGAAACCAGCATTTCTGCCCCTGCTGTTAACAGTGAGGATCCCTGTGATGCACATAAGAGAATTGGGGGCAGAAGGTGTTGATTTAATTTTTTTATTCAAAAAATTAAATACAAAAAAAATGAAGAAACAACTGAAATACCATTAAGCCCTGATTTTGTTCCCTTGTGCAATCCCTATAAGACCAGTTCTTTATTTGATCACATTTTTTCCCTGAAGATTTTTGACTCCTTCAGATCAAAATTTAAGCTCAGTAGATAACAAAGAAACTGTTGTGTTATTGTCATGGATGTTGTAACTAAGCAGCACTCTGAAGAATTCAATTCTCTTCCTGCCAGTGTGTAAAAGTATGTGATTTAAATGCAAGACATTTCTATTAGATAGTGAGCAAGCAATTTAAATGGATACCCACTACCTGGGTATTCCTCATCGCACAGGTTCTTGGCCTGAGATGCTGGATTTTTATCTCCATGACTATCAAACTACCGTAAGTGCACCTGAAGAACTACACTATGCAATGTGGTGTATCCCAAAAGATCAGAGCTCAGACACATCAAAACTTCAGATGGACAATTTTTACTTCAGCCTTTCTATGACACACTTCATCTGCACAATGGAGTTAATGTTATGTCCTCATCTGCAAATATAAACTACCTGATCATCACAAAGGTCTCAGAGCATTCATAGCCATAACAAAGTCCATGACTAAGTTACTACGCACAGAGGACACCTACAGCAAGAGGTGATCTGGGCTCTGAAGACCTTACAGATTGCATTAGACAGAAAACATGCAGGTCACCAGGGAGAGATTTAGAAGAGAAGATCAGGAAGTTTAAAATAAAACTCCAGAATTGACTGGCAAGTTTTCCCTGGTGAATGATTCCTCACAGTTTAGCATTAAGTAGGAGAGGAGGAGTCTGGATCTGTGTATGTCAGAAAAGTAACTCTATAACGTGAGGCTCTGATATCCTAAGGGTTTAGGTATCTGAAAGATAAGTGTCTGACTACACATAGATATTTTTAGTCCAAACTCCCAATCTGAACATGTCAGGAAATTGAGTTTTGTGGCCAAAGACACTTACAGTGAACACTAACCTTTAAAGTCTTGAAGGTCCATTTGAAGCTCTAGCTGTAGTAGGTCTGGGGACCCTAACTGATGTGCCCTAGACTCCACAATGGTCTGGGGCAACAAGGCAGCACTAATGCAATGAAGTGCCTCAATACCTGAAAGTAGAAGGATTGCATTCTGGTGGGTTGTCGTTGATATCATCAATAATTATTGTGATCTCCATTTCACTGGCATGACCACTGCTGGGACTGTCCTCCACCTGGACTATCACTGAAATATTAGGATGGAGCTGCAGTGGAAGGGCATCTCTGTCAATTCTCCCAGTCACCTGCAGCACTCCAGTTGCTGGACAGAAAGCAGACAGAAATTAGGTGCTCACCATGGAGGGAAGTAACAAACACTTGCGGTGTACATGGAGGAGGATAGGGTACCTCAGCAGACAGGTAGCAGTATAAAAAGTATTCTGTTCTGTGCAAATCATTTTTGGTTTAATTATTTTTTAAAGTGATATAAAATGGGTCTGAAATTCTGGCTAAGACTTTAATGGATAGACACCCATTGCTCAAAAGTAAGCCATAGGTGGCCTCAGCAGGGGGGCTTGGAAAGCAGTTAGATTCCCTTACCTGCACAAAGAGCAAGTGCAAGTCAGAGTTGAGTGCATTCACAGAGCATCAAGGACAATAAGCTGCTAATGCCTGTGCTGTCCTTGCTCTCTACCCAGCAAGGCCACTTCACTTTCTACTGTTATCATTCAAGCATCCTTCAGCACCTCTAAATCTACTCACATATCAACAGAGCTGCTCTTAAGCTGTGACAGATCGTGTCAAGTGCTCTGGTCAGCCATTCACTTGATTATTTTTTTTTCACTTCTGTCAGCCTCTGTTCGAAAAGAGAAGGTTTTTGTGGCAGAGCACAGTACCATTCCCAGAGCACAAAGGAGGTAAAGGAACAGTGTGTACATCCTCTGCCTTTTGGTGTGTGATTGAGGGGGAGGGTGGCAGTACCTGGCCAAAGGACATCGGGAATCCAAAGCATTTAAGGATCATCCTGATCCCCCAAAGCACTGGTTTGTGGGACACCCCTTACAGCTGTGGTAAGCAATTCTAAAGCAAGAGTAGACAAGGAGCAAAGCATTCACTGAATGCCAGCCCTGGGCCAAAAACCTCAGGGCACTGGTGTATGTGCCTCAGAGAGCACAGAGAGACAGAACCAGCATGAGAGAGAGGACTCTTTTGGACAGCCTTGCCTGAGGAGGGTCATGAATCAAGCAATGAAGCTGAGGGGCTGTGCACTTCAGTGCTAGAGCAGATTTCAGGCAGGAGAGAGGACATCATGGTCTAACTATGTGCTGCTGTTTCAAGAGCCCCAGAACAGTCACTGCAGTCCTCATAGATTAAAATGAAGGCAGCTAATCTTACTTCCACCCAAGGGACCATCACGCTCCAGCCATACACCCATATTTGTCAGTAAGTCACCTTTAGTCTAGTTTCTTCAAGATATCTTACTGAATCCTGGTCAGCTGACAGAGAATTTGACCCTAACAACATACTGAGCATTTCTTATTTCTAGGGGTAGACACAGAATAAAGTAAGTAAATTTAAAACCAAGACAAAAAACATTTTCTCCAAAGTAGCCACCCTCTTTTTTAGGTGCCAGAAGGCATATTTTTGTTTGTCTTACATGGATTTATGGAGAAGTATCTGTCAGAAGACTGGATGCTGTAGAAAAGTCTGCTAGGAAAGTCTTCATCATCAGGATCTTTAGCTGTTATATTGGCAACAATAGTGCCTGGGCTTTGCTCCTCTGGAATCCTGTAGATTCTTTGTTTTCTACAAGATAAAACAAAATTCAGCAAAGTGCACATCTGTGTTTGCAAGGGCAGCTGACCACAGATTTAGCTGAGCAGCCAACTGCAGCAGCAAATCCATGGCCATGCTGGGCTCAGAGATGGCTATTTACATGTCAGGGTAAATATCCCAGTCACTGGTTCTGCCAGCTGGATATGGAGCAATAGCTGAACTGGTATGTGGTCATAAAGCATGACATAGCCACACAAATAAGTGCAACTTTTTCACAGCAAAAACAGTCTGACTTTCACAGAATCATGGAACTGAAGATGGAAGGGGCTGTTAAGTCATGCAGTCCATCTCCCTGTAGAGCCACCAGCTCGTAAAGCCACTTGCTTTAATTCCTTTATTTTGCAAGAGAAAAACAAAAATAGAAGCAGTAATGTAATTAATCATCTTTTGGAATGAATGCTGGAGGCTTTTTGGGGACAACAGTATTACTAAAAAGCTGAGTAGCCCCTGCAGTTGGTGGAGGCAGGGAAGAGCACTCCTGCGGGTGCCCACCAGATGAACATGCTCCAAACTCCCAGCAACATCTGTCTGATTCATTTTAAATAGATAAAACTCTTCTTTACTGCTGCTGTTTGATATGTCAGTGCTCCCAAATTTCCCATGAATTAAGTGAGTTTTATAGCTCAGATATGGCAGGCAATTGTGCAGGATTGCTTATAATGGTTGCAGTAGCATGTTCGCATGGGTACTCCAGTATGCAACTATGGTACTTGAACCACATTCAAGAGCAGGCATAGGCACGCACACAAAAATTGTGCAAGGAATTTATGAAGGCTGATTTATACTATTGAAACACACACAAACATGTCCTGCTTCTAGAAATCAAAGGAAGTTGAAGGTGCTCAAGAGTTCAGAAAAGCATTAGGGGCATGTTGCAAGACTGAATCCTTTTTGTACATTTTAAACTTCCTATGCCACCACTTAGCTAATGGAGTAGTCTATAGTTCCCAGCATAGGAAAGCATGAGCCCTTCGTTGTCCTCTGAAAACCAACATCGTGAGGCACTTAGCAATTGTAGCAGACGATTGCAGAGACAGAACAAAAGATCTTATGCCTCCAGGTCTCCACTTGCGATTTTAAAAATGGTTAAGAAGACACAGTATCTTCAACTATTTTGGCAGCTTATATGAAAAGAGGAAAGCATACAGGAGAGAAATCACACAGGGTTTTCCCAGTAAAACCATCTAACTTTCAGCTAGAAGTAAATGAGGAGTTTGTGAAGGTTGCGGAGTTAGTGAATACATTAAGTTTCTATCTCACTCTCGGCATTGGATCTCTTCCTTCCTTGTTCTCCTGTTGCTCCTTCCAGAGCCACTCAGAAACAAAGGAAATAGCAACAGATCTCCTTTACAGCTACCAAAAATGCCACCACAAAATGCCTCTTTGATCACTGGGGAATTTGGGAGGGACAGCTCTGACTGGTTTTGGCTCAAAGTAGGGAACTTCCTATGCCCACAGGGACCACAACTCCAACCTCTCTGTGGACAGCAAACTCACGACAGCCCCACCTTCACAGCCCCACCAGCCGTCCTGCGCCCTGCACAGGCCGTTGTCCTGTCACCACCAGATCACTTGGGAAGAAGCAGGACATTATCGAGCAGATCCCTGTAGCAACAAGTGCTAGTACAGCTGGGGAGGAGCTCGGGCCACTTCCTACGCAGCTACATCTGGGCTGTGTCTTGTCCATCTGCCTGCCACCTGCCAGTGGCTTTTTACAGGATGGTTCGAGCAGACCTTTTAGACACTGCAACATAATTGCAAAGGAAGCATATGTTTGTTTTCTTGTCTTATCCTTTGTTTTCCTGACTCCACGAGTTTTCCATTGATTTTAACAGCCAGAATTTCAAAATGTTGAATGCCAGTGCAGTGTTGTGAACACCAAAAACAGATGTGCTTGCATATACTCTGGGAACAATTAAAAAGACCCTTTGAAACTCTGTTCTTGACAGCTTTGATCTGGAGAAAATAAAGAAGATTTGCTAACTCGTCAAGTTTTCCTAGCTTCCATCCCAGCTCTAATTATTACAGTGTCAGAAAGTAAGCAGCCCCAGCATGCAGCTCACATTTCTGCAGAGGAGAGGCCATACATGTGCATACTGAGGACAGCTCATGAAGTGTAATTTAATCTCAAACTCTTTACAAACCAAGCTGTTCTTTTTGGTCTGTAGTGTCAATCTAAAAGGGAGAAGATTCAAACAAATACCAGGCCTTATTTGTGCCATATGAGAACTGAGTCTTAGACCTTAGGTGTTATGGATGCTTGAGTTACTGCAGCTTTCACTAGCTTGAACAAGAAGATAAATATTTAAAAGAACTCCTTTATCATTCCAGACACAAGGATAAATAAACAGAAATGGCAACATTTGGAGGAAATAATCAGTCTAGAACACAATGTGCAAATGTTGGCACTGGGAAGAGAATTCCTCCTGCTTATAGCAGTACAGTAATGTGGAGCAAGTTGTTAACCTTATTGATAATTACAGACATGAGGTTCAAGTATTAAATAAGTAGCAACAAAAAAATCCATGTCTGTTTCTAACATTTCATTCTTTTGTTTCTTCAGATGCTCCACCCCTTTGTCCAGCAAGGTCCAGATCCTTGGCCTCAGCTGTGCATTGCTCTGGCTCCACAAAGCACCCAGAAGATTGCTCCAAACAAGTGTCTGGAAACCTCTTGGCGTGACCCAAGTGCTACACTGTCCTCTCCTTTGCAAGAGGGCAGCCACCATAAACGTTCTCACCAGGCACCTTGTAGACCCTCAGGATCAGGAAACATAAAGAGAGTGTCTTGAATCCAGTCAGTGCCCCATGCAAGTGACAAAGGTAAATCAACAGCATCATCGGATCAACTGTAATAATTGTCAAGCTCCTGCTTCAGAAACAATCATCTATCACGCTTTTCACTGCAAAACAGCCTGCTTGTCGCACAGGTATATTCTTTCCCATTTTTCCAAATTTTCAACAATATTCCTGATTCCAACTAAAACTCCATTAGTCTTCAAAAGCTATTTCTGACTTGTGTGTTATGACACAATTTCCTGCTTATGACACAGTAAGAGACAACAGCGTTTCAAAGATCACCGGGATTGTTTACAAGTCTGAATGTCTGGGAAGAAGAGGAAGACAGATAAAAAGGGAGACCTTTTTATGTCTAGACATTTCTGCATGAATAAACATCATTATGGTGAAATGCACATCTGCATGAAGGGTAAATTCTGCATGATTATATTCACACAGGGTAAAATTCATCTCCTTGTCTGAACTTGTCCAAAGGTCTTTGCATAGCTTTAACCTCTCTCAATGCTAACAAGTACAACAAGCTTGTTTGGCTGTTCTTAGCATGAAGGCAGAGCCTGGAAAACTTGAAACTGTTACGAATATGAATAAGAATAAAAGAGGGAAATGAGGCCAAAGGTTTCCAGTGAAAGAACTGGAATCATAATGAAATTAAAATACTGTTTTCAGTCGTGTTCTGTTGTTATATTCACTTGCCCTTATGTTACACCCTCCCATTAGTGCCAAAGCAGTAAAGCTGAGAAAACATCTGCATTTTGAGTACAATGGAAGTTTTTCACTCACGTGGTAAAGTAAGGTCTTTCATCATTGATGTTAACTATATTTATATTCACTGTTTTAGTCGAGTTGAGTCCATGTGGATCTGACACTGTTATATTTAAAAAGTAACTGTTAAATAAGAAAACAAAACAAGAATCATTCTGTGGCTATGTAGGAAGGCATTTCTCTGCCTACTGTAAGCTAATAGGCCATGTGAATAAAACACATTCTCACCAGTGTGGATCTTTCTCATAATCAAATTCTTTTGTGGAAAAAATGGATCCGCTTTCCGAGACCAAGAATGGCACTGTTGCAGGGAGCAGTGAATACTGAAATGAAGAAAGCAAGAAATTATTCTTTATATCTTTAAACAACCCTCCATTCACTCTTTGCCTTGCAAAATGGGCCAAGGTATAGCACAGTGGTTGCCTCAAAACTTTGCATATTGAAACATGCTGACACACAGATGCCAGCACAAGCCCTATCAGCTGAGCTAAAGCAGCTCAAACTTTGTCGTAGGTGCTTGCTTGACAGCCAGTGGAGAGTCACAGATGCTGAATTACATTAAAGCCCACACTGTTCTCTACTTCTGTGAACTGCAGCTCTGCAATGAGAATTTAACGTAGAGGCCAGTCAGCAGAGCCAGAGCACAGTCGGCAAAAATCCACTTTGTGCTGGCAGCAGAGTACATGCACAAAGGAGGAGAGAGAAGAAGGGGTGAGGCTGGATTTGGGGGCATAAGACACACTGTGCATGAGGCAACGAAGTTTAGGGGCCCAGCAGATGGAAGAGGCCCAGGAGGGGAGGGTGGACTTTCACAGAGTACCTGAGGGTGTGAGGCTGAAAGGTGCTCACAGCAGTTCAGTGTTTATGTGGCTGTTCAGCGGTGGCATGGAGCAGCAGTCACTTTGTGCATTGCACAACAGAAATGAGTACCACACCAGCACACGGGTGCAGGAGGAAGGCAGCACTCTGATCCCCATGGCTGCAGGGTAGCTACCACATGCCTACCATGTCTTCCCTGCTATCGTCCACATGCCTCTGCCGGGCCATCACCAATAAGCCCTCAAGGACATTTCATTTGCTAGTGCAGGTGTTAATAATACTCTAAGAGTCTGAGGTAAGCAACAGCAGAGGGTCGTGCACTGTACAAGTACTCTGCAAAACCCACCGATCAGATCTGTCCAGGAGATGCAACTGCTCTTGTGTTACCTTTTGGAAAAAAACAGGAGGTACAGAGATCTGCGTGAAACAACTTGCCTCCTGCAGTGATAGATTTAACTGAAATTGCTTTTTAAAAAGCAGCTAGCTAGGTGATCACAATTCTTTGAACCATTTTTTTGACAGTTGACCTTTCTGAATTCCCTCTCCAGATTATTATTTTATCTGCTGACCAGCATTTCTATATTTGCAGCTTCCTATTACGCCTGAGCTTCATCAGGGGTTAGAAGGTGCGTGGAACTCACGGCTGTTGCTTTCAGAAACAAAGGAGAGCTAAACCCCAGGCCTCTGCTTCCCTCCTCACCAGCTGGGGTTTGGTGGTTTGACTGGTCAAAGCCTGAGGATGGACTTCAAGGCAATTGCTCTCTTGAATAATGCTACACATTGAAGTGGCATCTTCAGGTTCAGTTCCTGAATGTGCTGTCTTTTATAAAGCCAAAGCCAATAAAGTAAAGCTACAACACAATTCTTAGGTAGGTCCCATTACTTTTCCCCTGTCTGCAAACAAACTTATCACTTTCCAGAAATTTTTGCTGATACCAGGAGTATTTGCAGATCAGCTAACACATTTTCTCAACTGAAGGTCACAGTTTGCCTTGGGATTGTCAAAAAGCTGAGATTCAGTTGCCTTGTAAGCGATTTCCTTACTGCCTCATTTAAAAGAATTTACGTTGTGATACAGAAGGTTAAAAATTTTATTTGCTTTTAGTCACTCTCATCCACAAGAAATGTTTTGCAAGCCATTAAAAAAAAAGACACAATTTATACTGTATCAAACTACTATATCAAAGTCTGCCTTCATTATTCCTTAATTTTGGAGGGCTGAAAACTCAAAATACAACTTGTGTCCAAGCATGGAGGCTGGGTCTTCTTAGATCATTATTGAAAATACTTCTTTTTCCTGCAAAACCTTTTCCTGTGTTCCTGATATGGAAGGAAGGTGTTGAAAAATGCTGGCAATCAGCACTTCAGATACAGTGGATTAGATCACCTCTCATTTATTTTCTTTAATACAACTTACTTTGAGTTCAGCCTTTTCAGGATCAGCTGCATCAACTTGGTAAATGCGCCCTGGACGTGTTCCTTCCAAGACATAGATCGTTACAGCTGCATGGATACAAGTGTACTCAGTATTAAGTAGGTAAGAATAAAGGACATGACAGCCAACATACTGATGCTTTTCCTTTACACCTGTGACGTAAATGAATAGTGGACAGCCTGTGCTGACTTAAATTTTTGCCTTATTAAGCTTTCTAATTCAGTGCAAGGTGTATTTCTTTCCATGTCAAGAATTCTCACAGCTGGGCCATCCCATACTGGGGCACTGGCAACAGGCTTAGCTCTCCTTGGATATAGTGATTAACAGAACAACAGATCTTTAGATCACGTTATTTGCTTTATGCCCTTTTATGCCTGCTGGACCTGCTGTTTCTGGACTATTAATTTCCACTGTGACCCCTGCTGACTGCTGCTTCTCATCAGAGCAGTGGGAATCCCAGAGCAGCGTAATGAGTTGTTCCCAGAGGACAACAATATGAATATAAAGTTTAATGAGAGGGAGACGCTTTTTCATAACCAGCGAATGCACAATTAGCGCCTAATTGTAGCTGGTACTGTTAACTAAAGCCACACAGTTAGACAGATCAGACATCTGTGCTCACCAATTTATGGCAGCTCTAGCTGAGAGTTAAGCTGATGCACTTATTTGTAACAAGCTCCCACATACAGCGTGTTTCATGCTGTGCCGATCCCCTGAAGTGTCACATTTAATTATTATTAGATTCCAGCAGCACCCATGATATGCAAGACACCAGCTACAGTGAGAAGATGACACAGCCTCTCCCCTAGGGGAAGCTAATTTGCTTTACAAAGTATTGTATGGAAGCAGGAACGTCAATGTGCTTCGGAGGCGTTAGTGCAGCGGGCTGGATTTGAGGGAGCCTGGGCTGAACCTGTCCGGGCAGACAAGCCCTGTCCTCAGCAGCAGGCAGAAGTCAAGGCTGCAGCCACGCTGCACTACTGACTGCTCCAAGGGCTGCGAGTCGCAGCCTGCGTAATGCTGCTGCTAGCC